TTTAATTTTTCTCTGTCTTTGAAATAGTTCATTAAAAAATTAGAGCAATTTAACTAGCTGTGAACCTTTTAATAATCATGATTTACTTGTATGAGAAGTCGTAAAGAATAGTGTTTAAGAGGCACTTGAATCATAAAGCATAAGTTTGAATTTTGTTCATTGAATCTTTTCTTAATTTTGTGAGCATGGGGAAGTTATGTTTTTCTTCTTTGATGCTGTTGAGTCAGTTTCCTCATAGCCACCTCATGATGTGTAACAGGATAAAATATTGCTTCATGATGTGCCATCCTCACAATAGTGTGTATGTTTAGAAGCCATTGTTGCAGCCTCCATGCCAGTCCATGTTATTAAAGATGTTCCTGTGTCGCTAGCCTGCTTTATCAAAGATGAGCTTCTTCTCCAGTGATTGATCCTTTCTGATAACATGTCCAAAGCAAAGGAGGGGGAAAAAAATCTGTTTTGTTTTTTTCTTTCTAATGCGCTGTACTTTCTCCACTACAAATTTGTCTTATCTTCTGGAGTCCGTGGTGTGTTTACTATTCCTCACCAGCACCGTAATTTAAAGGTACCGATGATTCCGATTTTTCTTTTTACCTTGTTAATTACACACCTGCTCATGAATATGAGGTGCCTGAAAAGACCATGGCTCGGGTCAGGTGCACTCTAGTCCTCAAGTCAAATCTTTGCTTTTTAATACCTCAAAGAAGTCTTTTACAGCAGATTTGCCTAATGCAGTACACATTTTGATTTCTTTTTTTATACCTCTCCATTGTTGGTTTTTTGTTGTTGTTGTGAACTGTGGAATAAGATCCGACTGGCACAGGAAGAGATTGCTCCTCTTCCTCCAGCGGAGCATCTAGTGGATTCGAATCACACGCCTTTGGGATTGCAGCACAGCTTCTTGCCACTAGGCCAGCAGAGCTCCCTTCTCCATTGGGTTTTCAAGGCTGTAAATCCTTGTGTGTGTGTGTGTGTGTGTTTAAATTTACAAATTATATTTGTTTTTTTTACTCAATCATACATTCTTATACATTTTGTTTTATAACATTAATTACAGCTGATTAACACGTTGCTGCAAATGATGGCAAAATGTTTCTAAGCACAGTCAATTTAAAAGTTTAAGCACAGTCAATTTAAAAGTGTGGGGCAACATGTTAATTGCAATGTCTGATTAAAATTTATTATGTTGTCTTTCCCCTTACCTGATTCTTCGATTTTGTTCCCCTCTCCTTCCTTATCCATCCCTAGAAACCACCCCCTCTGATTGCTTGACTGTTGCTTCCATAGGCACTGATGTAGCTGTAAGTATAATCTTCTGCATTTATTGTGATACTGCTTATTGGTGAGGTTGTGAGGATTTTGCTCTTTCAACTGAGGTGTAATCCATGCCAGAAACTGTTTCTTTGCTCTTCATCAGTAAGTGCTTCAAATATTTCTTACATTTGACAAGTAAGTTTGTGTCACCTATGTATTTTAGGTTGTTAAAGTAGCTTCTTCCAATCCTGATGCCAAGTTCTTTCTTAATATATCCCACTTTCTCAGATTATTTTGTCAGCATATACAGATGAATAAGTAAGATGAAAATATAAAATCCTGGCACATACCTTTTCTGATGTTAATCCATGTGAATATCCTCTTGTTCTATTGAGTGACTCTCTCTATGCATATGTTCCACATGAGCACAGTTAAGTGGTTTAGAATTCCCATTCTCAGGGAGCTCTGTTGGCCTAGTGGCAAGACGCTGCACTGCAATCCCAGAGGTGCGCAGTTTGAATCCACCAGATGCTTTGCTGGATAAGGAAGAACAATCTCCTCCTGTACCAGTTAGATACGATTTGATGGTACACACACACACACAAACACACACAAAAAAAATTAAAAATAATTCCCATTCTCGCAATTTATTATGAACATAGGTGGATACCTTTGTGTAGTAAAGAAAACCTTGATAAACATCTTTTTTATAGTCTGTCTTTAGTGAAGATACATCTTATATGAGCAGTGATATGTATATTATTCCTCATCCTCTTCTGAATCCCGTTTGAATTTCTGGTAGTTCTGTCTTGACATCTGACCACAGCCATTTTTAAAATGATCTTCAGTATTTTTCTTGAATATGATATTATTAAGCAATTCTGCATCACTTTGGGTCACTTTTCTTTGAAATGGACACTAATAATCTTTCATTTGGTTGGTTAAGTAGTTCAGAGTTACATAACATACGTAAGCGAGCGCTTCTAGCATTGTATCTGTTTGCTGAAACATCTCAATTGGTATTATTTTATTCCATAGAGGCTGTCTTCCACCAATTCATTCTGTGTATCTTGGACTGCTTCCTTCAGTGCCAGTGATTGTTGATCATAAGCTATATCTTGAAATGGATGAACATCAGTCAGTTCTTTTTCGTTCAGTGAATCTGGGTATTCTTTCCATTTGCTTCATAATATTTTTGAAATTTTTTCCCGTAAGTTTTCACAGAAGTTTAGGTTGTCATTTAAGATTTTCTACACAAGGTGACATGAATTAAAATGTGTACAATGCATGAGCTTTCTCAGGATCTCTGTTCTAGGGAGTTCTGGTGGCCTACTGGCAAGAAGCTGGCTGCAGTCCTGAAGGTGCACGGTTCAAAACCACTAGATGCTCTGCTGGAAAAGGGGCAGTGCCCTTTTATCTGTGCAGATAAAAAAGGGGCAGTGCCCTTTTTTATGTGCCAGTTGGATCTGACTCAGCAGTGCACAACAAGGGAAAAAGAAAAAAAAAAACACCTCTGTTCTGGTGATATTGTTTCCAGTAATCTAATTTTCCCGCACCCTTATATTGTCAACTTTAAGCTTTTGAAAAGGAGCCCAGTGCATATAGTCTGTTAATTTGCAAACTGTTTGAATTTCTAAAAGAAATTTCACTCATAAGGTGACCTCAGGTATCAGTTTCAGTTCAAAATTTGATCTTAAGGCAGTAATCTTAGGGAGTTTTCCAGTCTTAACCTGCCTGGTGTGTCTGAGTTAGTATGTGTTTTAGGAATTCGAAGTTCCATATTGTTATTTCATTATATTCTATGTATCTTCTATTATGGCTTTGATTAGCACTGTCAGTAGTAGTGGAAGTATTAGTAGTTGTCATCGTCGTTGGGCACCATCTAGTTTTTCTGGTCTCAGGGTGGATGAGGGCATGGGCTGTGTAAATGATTTATCCTTTACTAGACTAGTTTCTTCTCTGAGTATGTGGTTTCATTTTTCTCTCTTGCTTTGGATGAGTAGAGACCAATAGTTGTGTCTCAGCTAGCTACTTTGAAGCTCTTTAAAGACCACAGCAGTAGTCACCAAATGAGGATATGACTTTTCATCATCTTTGGATATTTCATGGCTTTTGGAGATTTTACACATGGGATCCTTCAGTATTGCAACTTGAGTATTGAATGTTTTCCTTAATTCTCTCAGGTTGAAAAATGCTGAATGCATCCTCCCGCTTTGGTTTTCTAACTCCAGGTCTTTTCACCATTTCATTATAATACTCTGTGTTCTGGAGTCACTTTTGAAATACTTTGTTTAGCTGTTCTACCTGCCCATTTCTTCCATTTGATATAGCTGCTTTATGTTCTTGAAGTAAGTTGCAAAGTCTCTTCTGACATCTGTTTTCACGAAACACTGGTAGTCATCAAAATGAAATGAAAACACTTGAGAATTGATATCCTAAGCATTAATGTGCTTAAATGGAATGATATTGACCATTTTTAATGAGACAGTTTTCTACTAGAAGATGCAAATAATATCTACAATGTAGAGTTTTGTGAAGATTACATATTTATCAAACTGTTTGACATTTAAGGACTTCTGAATAAAGTTATTTTTAAAAGGGAAAGGACTACACAACCATTCAGTTAAGAGCACAGCGTCATTATCCTATAGCAGTCAGTGCTGCGCGTTAAAGAATGTCTTTTAGGGGTGTATTTTCCAGACCTACCAAAGGATAAAAGCAGTGTCTGTTACATCCAATAAAAAGACAGGACCCTAAACAAAACCACAATATTCTCTTAAGGATTTCATTAACACCAATGTATTTACGCATTTGCTGAATAATGTTGCCAGTGTTCTTGGGCTAGGAGGCAGGGAAACAAAAATTGACTGCGCTGTGATGTCCACTTACAGGGATCTTAAAATCTTCAATTTACTCTTTGATGGTTCTTTCTAGAGAACATCAGCAAACTAAGTAAAAAGGAGGAAGTGATCCCCCAGTGCTTATCTTACATGACAGGAAATACAGTCCTGGCAAGGGTCACAGGAAAGGCTCTAAAGCATCGCTGTCCAGTGGAATTTTTGCAGTGATAAAATTGTTATCTGTGCTTTCCGGGAGACTCACCACTCTGCTCTTGGGGCTGTTGGGCATTTGAAATGTGGCAAGTGGCTACCAGGCAAATTCAAGAATGTATATCCAAAACCTAGGAGAAGATCAAGTTTTCATGGATTTTTTTGTTTGTTTGTTTCAAATTATATTTTTGCAAGGTACAGTAAATACTACAACAAAAACTGGAGATGTGAAATATAAATTAATTTTTTAAAAAATAGTCAACAATATTAAATTACTTTAATAAGATGGATATAAAAGTTTATAAACATTCCCAATTTACTTATTTTGTGCAGTGTACAATTGAAAAAGGGTGTTCTGGTGGCTAGTGGTAAGAAGCTGCACTGCAATCCCAAAGGCACCTGGTTTGAGTCCACCTGCTGTTCCACACGAGTAGGGTGGGCAGTCTCCTCCTGTGTGATTTAGTGCCTCTGAAAGCCTGCTGCAGGGTCGGCTCTTCGTCATTCTGACTTGATGGCACACAACAACAAATGAAAAATTGTTTTCATACTCTGAGCTAGGTAGAAAGAAGTACTATTTTTTTCTCTCTCTCTGAATGTGCCCAAGAATAAACTTCATAAAACCAACTATTTGTGTTATAATTACTGGTTTAAGTAAGTTTGCAGATATAGGTACAATTCAATAATGTGATTATTAATCTAAAGGCTAGCAGTCATTGGGCATGTCTTCTCTAGGACAGCTGTGTATTGACATTTCAGTGCAACAACTTAAGTGTGGGTGGAGGATGCTTGTTGGATCCAATGAAACCCTTTTTGCAATTGGGGTTATAAGTTGAAAAATCTTTCCTTCTATAAAGTTCAGCCCGATGTTTGCAGCAGCCAAATTTACTCAGCAAAAGAAAGAAGTCTCTGCGGAATGCCTTTGTGAAAATTGCATACAGAAATGGATTGGCACAAGAATTCACAGGATAAAAAAGGACCAATAAAACTTTGGAGTGGGTAACTGTGATAAGGGGCATTTTGAAGGCAGCTGAGATGGCAAAAAAGGAGATAGGTGCCATGCAGGTGAAGTCGGTGAAGATGAGGATGGCCATTTTCTTAGCAATCTTTGTATCCTTGTTGGTGGCCATCAGCTCTGGATTTTGAACTGCAAAATAAATTCTACTGTAGCACGCACAAATGATTATGAAAGCTATCACATTGAGTATCAGGATGGCTAATATATAGGCTTGTGAGAGAATGCTTTCCACGTCCATGGGGAGGCAAATGCTGACTTTCATGTAACTGCTGACACCCACCAGAGGTAACATGGCCATTAGAGTAGAAAAGAGCCACCCCCCGAGCATGACGGGGATGGCATGTCTCAGTCGAAATTTCTGGTCCAGCTGAACAGCATAGGTGATGGTGTGCCATCTTTCTACTGTGATGACAGTGAGGGTGTAGACAGACAGTTCACTTGCAAATACAGTGAAAAATCCAGCCACGCTACACCCGCTCCCGGTTTGCCAGTCGATGGCGTAGTTATAATACTGATCTTTGGTCTGTGAATCAACTGAGGCAATAAGCAGTAGATAAAGCCCCATGCAGAAGTCTGCAAAGGAGAGATTGCACATGAGAAAGCGGGGCACGGTCAGCTTAGAACGGCTGGCCAGGAGGACAGCGAGCACTGTCAGATTGCCCGCGATGGCCAGGAGATTAATGAGCCAAATCAGGACCCTAAGGAAGTCATAGCCCATGATATCTTCACAGGGATTAAAGGCGTCCGGTTCTGGAGCACATCGGAAAGTCTTAGAAGAGCAGTAAGCATAGTCATAATCCCAGCCACTCGCATCGTCCTCAAAAACGGCAGCGTAACTGCAACGAGAATATTTTAGTTCAGTATAAGTGAGACTTGCCTACGATTCTGAGTATTTAAAAATTCATCAATTGTCCTTAGTGTTTCTTTTTTTTAAAGCTTAAGAAACAAACCCACAACAACCTTACATTTGTTTGTTAAGCTGATTGATGTAGGAGTCCGTAAGAAGGGAACAAAGAGCCACTTAGACTTAAAAAAAAACAAAAACAAAAACAGATTTTAAACGTTGGTATAAAGACTTAATGAACTTGCTTCGAAGTTGGTTTTTCTTTGGAAAACAAATTTAGAAACAATATATGCTTGCTAAATCTAAAAGAATCCTTTCTTGGCATTTTTCTTTGCAGTGTATCTCATTTAGTTGCCAGCTAAACAGCTACCAAGCTGTTTGTCTACAGAATAGCATACATGAGATTGTGAAATGAACATTAATGTTGAAACACATCAGCTTTGGTGGACTTGTTTGCTGTTAACACTTCGGTACTAAAATAGCCCAGTTTATAACTAATGATCAAGGATAGATTAGTAGAAACATGGGATCAGAGGAAGAATGCATGAACTCCTCATTTAGTATCTGATTACCCAACATTTTGCATTTTGCAATAATAAAGAATTGATTTGACATTTTAGGGCTTTAATGGTATACGTCAGGTATGCGAGAGTGTGAGGAGAGAGTTATGCTGGCTAAAAGAGTTAAGGTGGTTTGCCAGCGTGGCTGGGTCAGGATTCAGATTGCTTTTGCAGGTACGTAATGATGACCATCCTTAAACTTTCACATAGCAGCCTCCTATTTGTAACCTAACCAAGATAAGTGAGGTACATAGTCCTGGGCAAGAGGGAGAAATAGTGAAAGCAGATACTCCTGAAGGATACGAGTCAAAGACAGTAGATTGAAGATTGATGAACAGCCCTTTGTCTATGATCCCCTCCCCGGGCCTCATGGCCCCTGTCTCAGTTTATGCTTTCCTTCCCTCTTCCATGATGATTACACTTGTCTCCTGACAGTTTTCCTTTATTCATAGTTCTTTTCTCAGTCCATCTCCATACATGCCTCCTGAATATTACATCCCTGTACATTCCTTCTTGGGAATGATCTTTCCCAATCACAAATTGATTAATTTCACTTACTCAGATAAACTTTTACTAGTATTGAGACTCCTTGTCTCCAGTGCCTGCCTTGGTCAAGCTTCTGCCTGTTCTCTAGTATCATCTGTAAGAAGCAGTTAGCCAGTCACCAGTTGCTCTCAGGTTGATACTAACCCATGATCATCCCATGTGTGCCAGACTAGAACTGTTACTAATAGCAATTTCAGTGGCTAGTTTTTGTAAGATCGGGAGTTGGACTTCCAACCTTTCACTTAGCACATTAATCATTTGCACCATCTGGGTATCTGGGAGCAGAGCTGTGCAATCCAGTGAATACACATCCCCCACCCCCCACTGCTACTGTTGAGTTGGATCTGACTGGCATAGGAAAGCATCTGGTGGATTCAGACTTCGAGCTTTCAGGATTGCAGTGCACCTTCTTGCCACTACGCCACCAGAGCTCCCAGGGGAGGCACTTTGAATGCACTTCTTGGGCTCCAGGTCTAGCTCAGCTGCTAACAGGTGGTGTGAATCCAAGAGAACATCTCAATGCCTTAGTTATTCACTTCCCTAATAGAATTATCAGTCATATTTTGCGGGTTGGATGTGGATGAGGATTAAATGTGTAATACATGTAATATTTATAATAGTGCCTGACACTTATTAAAGATGTAGAACATACTTAGTATCTCTTGCGCATCTCCAGGGCAGCCTTCTCATTGGTCACATGCAGTATTTTGTGGTTCTCTGAGTTAGCTTTGCCTGTTCACCTCTCTGCCTTTGCATGTACTGTTTCTTCTGCTTGGAGTTTCTTTCCTTTCCTGATCTGTCAGGTATTAGTGTATTCATTTCATGTTTTGGAGGTGCTGTTAGAGATAAGGACACTTGATTGAAAGCCGTGTTAGATCGCAAACTCCAGGTTATATGACGGTGTTAGTACACTTGGGCAGGGTTTAGGAGAATTGCTCCTTCATTCCAAATTTTCCTTTGGCTCTACCATTGATTATACTCAGAAATATTTTCCTCCATGTGGCATAAGGCCACATGGTTACAAGAGTTACACAGGAAAAGGTATCCAGAGAGAAGAGTGGAAAGTTCGAGGTAAAGAACAGTAGGGGTTAGGTGGTATTAGACCATTATGAAAGAAGAGGAAAAGAAGGAGAGAGAATAGTCCCAAAGTAGTAGCTCATCTTCGTTACTTTCACATTCTTTAATTAAACTCCCTTCACCCTTACAATCAAATGGCTCCCTGCTCTTCCTATAGATGAGGAAACTGTCTGAGGAAGGATAAGTAGGGGTCCCAAGTGATACAGGAGTGTTACTGCCAAGGAGTCATATCCAGAACTGAGGACCCCAAATCTAAAAGCTCTCTCACCGTATCACCAAATAAAGGAGCTTTGGTAATCTAGTGGGTAAGGAATTGCACTCGCAACTCTAAGGCAAGTGGTTCAAATCCACCACCTGCTCCATGGGACAAAGATGGGCAGTCTCATCCTATGTGATTTACAACCTTTAAAACCTCTTATGAGTCAGTTCTGACTCCTTGGAATGTTACAACAACAATAATCAGTAAATGTGGCATACACAGGACATCCTCTTCTTCCCCCAACATAATGGCTTTATATTTAATACTGCATTTTTCACCAAGGTCTATTAATCAGTTGTTTTTATGTGCCGTTGAGTCATTTGCAACTCATGCTCATGGCAACCCTAGGTATAACAGCTCTGAACGCACCTCATTGAAGTTCTTCCTCTCTTGCATTATCCCTCCACCCTCCCAAGCA